TACAAAATTTCTCTTGTTGATGGATAATGACTGAACGTAAAAGAGAAGCACCAAATTTTTTCAAATTTGCTTTTTTTTTCACCTCTCTTTACACTTTTGATAATTAATTTATTTACAAATTGGCTTTATTTCATCTTCAAATAATCCCAACTCAAAAAGATCATCATAATTATTGATCAATCATTGGTTCTTCTTGCCGGATAAATAATTACCAGGTTTGTTGATGGTTGCCTGAACTTTCTTATCCAATAAAACACAATGTCACCGTGTAAAAACCCTTGAATTTTGATGATATTTAAATTTCTCTTCTAATAGAATTCTATCGATAATTAACCTTTACTTATAAATGTTTTTGAATCATTAAGTTAATACCATAGTCTATTAATAAAAAGAATTTTGAGTAAAATTAATTTTGTGCATTATTTCCTTTAAATTTGTAATAATTTTTCAAATTCGGAAAAGAAAATTCATTTACCTATTAGTATTTCTAATAATTTATACTATACGATATTTTCAACACCTAGAGGAAAGTAGTTAAACGCCCCACCTTACAAATCATAAAATATACAATTAAATCCTTTTCTACTGCTCCTCTCTTCCATTTACTCTCCATTCTAATTATTGTTCAACCAATTTCACAGTTGTACTCTCAAACAGACGTATTCTTAAAATGAAATTTCTTATTTAACATAAAAAACACCATATTAATCACATACCTTTTTCAAAACGAACGAATGTAAACCAACTTTGAGAACTTAATCGAAAATCTTTGGTAGGAGACCCAGTTAAAGCTAGCGTAAGTTGAAATGCGATTGCTTTGAAGGAATCTAATATGTGGCGAGTATATATGCCATAGAAACATATAAATAACGAAAATAAGCTGAATTCATTCCAAAGGTTTTATTTGCTAATACTTTATTTTATTTCGTTAAATTTTTAGTTACGGAGATATATTAGAGTTGAAATAAGAATGACGACATGACTATTGTTGTCAAGTATATATATACATAAATAAGAGTTTGAAAAGAAGTCTACAGAAAAGATTATTTATCTTACAAATATTAACTCGGTAGAAACAAGTTCATCTGTAGTGTTATATAACATCCCAATATATATTATATACTATATAATATATTACCTTATTTATACACACTACAGTTTCTTTATTATAAACTTTATGGTAAAAAGAAGCTCGACTCCTTTCCCAAAAAAAGACTTAACGAGTCATGTAATATTATGAGTTAACTATTTTGAAATTACTGTATATAATTTCACACATAATTCTTAATCTAAAACTATAACGCATTTTAGTTTCCGCGCGCAAAAAAAAATTAAATTTAATTAATCAATCCTCATAAAAATAAATCGAATTGGATCTGCACAATAACTAGTTCACTGCAACTGATGTTCAAAATATTTTCCACATTTATCACATTTATAAACAGGTAGAATGCAAAACCAATGTCGCAATTTACAGAATTTTATAGTAAAGTGTGTGTAGCTAGAACCGTAAAATTTGTCACCAACGAAGCAAGTAAAGAAGAAATTAGCTTGTCAGAGAGTGACATATTTTCTCGTAACTTAGCAACGATGATAGCAAGAGACAGTGAAGTGGTAGCGGTTAACTTGAAAATTTTACCCAGCAAGTGTAGAATTTACATTTCAAAGAACGGTAGATGGCTTGATAGAGATGTTAAATATATCGACGAAATTAAAGGACTCATGAAAAATTTATCTAAAAATGCTCCCATGACATTCGAACAAGCAACTAAAAGAAAGGATGTGTCTGCTTTATTTTTTAATGTATTGGAGTACTGTTCTGTTAAGTTTGGACGTAGATTGGACAAACTTAAAAGGGATATAAAGGATAATAAAGACGAACCACATATTAAATCTTTCTTAGATTTCCTAGAATCTTCTAGGATTAACGTTGATAATCTAGATGAGACTGACGAAGTTACCATGGCTTGTTGCGAGTATTATAAAGACAATAAAAACAACAAAAATTATCCGCAAAGATTCCTAGGACAAATCAAAAAAGTGGGATCCTATTCTGCATCTGTGATGGATATTGTTAATTGTGCACGTAAAGAAAAGTATAAAACATCATTTTCTTGTATAGACTTGCGTTTATTGGATCCTATTCCTGCCAATCAAACCATATTCTCCATGGACTGATATTATCAAAGAGTTTATTCCTGCTCAAAAGAGTTTCGAAGATTTCAAGAAAAATTGTTTAAAAAATAAAGAAACAAGGGAGAGACTAAACGAGATATATGGTGGCACAGTTAGTCAATTGGATCGTAAAACAACTAATCACATATATTTACACGCAAAGTTGAATATATTGACCAATACCGACGTATTAAGCAAGGAACATAATGAATTTATAGCAATATCCAAGAAATGTTGTTACTTATGTGAATCATACATCGAATTTTTATGATCCAAAGGATATAAAATTACCGTTTCTGGGGGACATAAAAAGTTGTATCACAAATGGAAACTTCCAGATGCTTACAGTAGTGAATTCGTGGAAAATGTTCTCTATGACCTTGATCAGATCATAGAGAGCGGAATAGATCAAATAATTGCTAAATCCGATAGTGATGGAGGTAGTGTTGATTCTGATAATCCAAAACGAAATTATGTTTTTATGAAGGAGGCGATTAGAGTTGCAAGACCGGTTAAGGTTAATCCAATCTATGATTCAGATATTCAGTAACGTTGCTTGATTAACAATTTTTTAGTATGAATAAAGGTACATTTTTATCAATAAAACAAAAATTGCTACATTTAAAAGTTAAAAGAAATCTTTACTCTTATGTCAGCGCTAAACTAACAAATCTATTTGAGTGGTGGACGTTCAAAGGGAGGAAACATTTTGATGCCTAACCGATCCTTCCCGCTTCTCAATACCACCTAATGCTAATTTTTTCAATATCTATGCGTCTATCTAATATGCTTCTATAATTTCCGAAGTAAATTAACTATATCTGTTATTGTTTAAACCAATTCCGCCCAAATATTCTGAGATGATAATATTTCAGATCTATTGCAAATTCCAGAGCAAGGTAAAAAATAAACAATATCTCCGATCTCTCTTACCTTTATATTTCGTTTTCTCGATATTTTACATTCACTGTATGCTCTTGGATAGAATTCACTGCCGGACTTTCTAATTTGCGATCCGAATTTCGAAAATTGTCGAGAAAATTTTTATACAAGACTGGAATTATCTTCTGAAAAATGCCAAGAAAAAAAAATGTATTCATTATTACACGCGATAAATAAATACAAGTTTGGGACGTAGCCAAAAAAATACATGAGAAAATTTCTATGCTAAATAAAGCTACCTAAGGACCTATAATAAATATATTTTTTTTCACTGACTTCGAGTATGAGAAGTCGACTACGCCCTATGATCAAAGATTTATTTCTCAGCTTTTCCATGCATTATCACATCATAGGTGCAACCGTGAAGAATCTTCACGATCAAAAATCACGAGTATTCAGTAATCTCAAGTCAAGAAGCCATGAGGCATTTCCTCATCAGTGATTGTTGTGCAATTTGATACACGCGAGGAATAAATACAAAAGTTCGGATCTCTACCCGTGATACATGAAGTTATTACGTTACTACGTCTACCTCCACGAGATTACTCAAAGACTTTATCCTTTCATTCTCCTCTACATTTTTTTATTACCACCATATATTATCCATATTGTCATGCTTTGCCTTGTGTTTGCGAGATAGTGAAGACAATCTGAACGGCGACCATGCAAAGCTTCATCTTTTTTTGGACAGTGGCTTGATCATAATCTACAGCATGGATGACATGTTTGATAATAAAAAATCACGTGCGCGTGAACAATGTTCACGCCGATCATTTTTGCCAAGAAATTTCCGAGGCATTATGTCCCGGAAAATTGTCAAGAAAAATTTTTTAATACATGCGAAAAATAAATACAAAGGTTCGAGACATAGCCTGGGATACATAACGATTTTTTCTATGCTGCCCCTAAGGGACCTGCTAATATACACGATTATTTTTTCGAACGATACCCCTCTATTCATACGCTTGCTTGAAGGTGATTTGTCAACACACGCCCTATCTTTTAACAACCCAACAATCATTCCCAATACCTTCTTCACGCCATTGTAATGCTCGATATTCTTCGGATTTTTTCTCCAGGGCCTTTTTGTTAAATTCGATGGTAAAGGGGGCTCACCTGCTTGAGATATTTCGCCAGGACTATACAAAAAAAAATGACAATCCCTTGCCGTTGTGACTATACCATATAGATAGTCAAAATCATCACTGCCGAAAGCTTCATCCCGGGTTCGTTTCTCTTGTTCGTTTCATATGAGCTTTAGAGTTGTTTGATATTATGTGCAAAGCCCATGGGAACTTTATGCTGTTTATCTTCCGTGATGCAAATAAGATCCTCGGTTTCCTGAGACGAAAAAATCAGTATGAAAGCAGTGTTGCTAAGTTAGTCCATCAAGAAATACACTCCCTACAAAAAGTTTAAGACCACCTATGATTTTTTAAAAAAATCAAATTTTTTTTATCATTAAAGTTTGATATATTGCATTTTTTTTAAGAATCGTTTTAACTAAATTAAGTAAATAATTTGAAAATCATTTTTAAAAAAATTTTATGAATGTAATATTAAAATGATATTTATTTAAAAGTTTAAAGTGAATATAATAAATTAAAAAAAAAAAAACTTTTTAAAAACATAATCCTACTCATAGTTACTATATAGGTAATTTTTTATATTTACCTTTATAAAATTTAATTAAATATTCACTAATATTTAATTAAAAATCACATACCCTTAAAATTACTTTTGTTTTACTTTTCATACTGCTAACCAATTTTTGATAAACCTCTCTAGAACTTTGTAATCATGATCTTTGCATTTTCTTTTTATGATCAGTTATTACATTCAAGTTCATCCCATAAGTTTTTGATAAAATTTAAATCAGAACATTGTTTAAGTTATAGTAAAAAAATTATTTCATTTTCTTCAATAAAAGTTCATATTTGTCTACTTGTATGAATTAATGCATTATTTTACTAAAAAAATACTCCACATTTTCTTCTTCAAATTCTTTTAAAAGGTATTAAATAGTAGTTAAGAAACTCTTCTATATATCTCTTATTATTAATCTGTTCATAAATTCTTACTAAAGAACCCAATCTATATAAAAAACACCTTACATTTTAATTTTACCTTCACCATGCTTTACAATTAAAATAAAATAATTAATATCATATTTTTCTTTTAAGAGATACTAAATATGAATATACATCTAATCATATTAAAATTTTTCTGTTTCTTCTTCTTCAAGCTATTCATCTGTACTACACAATGTAAAAGTAGGGTTAAAAGACCAAAGGTTTGACCCTCTACTGAAACATTAGGTATATGAGCCACAAACGTTAAAAACAATATCAATTTTTCTTATTATATTAGAAAAGCTTCTATCAACTCTAGAATCTTAATTTTGATATTATATTTCTTAATTCTGTATGGGTTCTTCAGCTTCAGAAAGCATATTGATTTTTATTAATATATTAGAAAAGCTTCTAATAACTCTAGAATTTTAATTTCTATATCAACTTTTCAGTTATATTTATTAAATCTAATGAAAATTATTATATCAGGAATTGATTCTGCATGAGTTAGCTCATTAATTAGCATATTAACTACTTAAGTTTAACAAAAATAAGTTTAATAGTCCTTATTATCCTATAAATAAATTTAATAATTTCTTAAATCTAACGAAAATATATATCAAAGCCTATCTCTATACATATTTGCTCAATAAATAACATAATGATTAAATAAATCTAATGAAAAGTTGTCCTAACTTTTTCTTAATCAAGAATGTGTTTAATGCAGATTAGCTTAGTAAAAAGCATATTTTATATAAAAGTCTAATAAAATGTCACTTCTGCAAAAATTCAGAAAAAATCTGCAAAATTATCCTAATTTTTTCTTAGTCAAAAACAGGTTCAGTGTAGGTTAGCTAAAGCTTTGAACAGTTTAGATTAATCTGAAAATTTTCAGTTTAGATCAATTTCAGTTTAGTTTCAGATTGCAAAAAATTCAATCTAAAAATTTTCAGTTCAGTTCAGATTTTTTTCGGATTATAAATCTAATCCAAACTGAAAAAAATCTGAACTGAACCAAAAATTTTGGATTAATCCAAAATTTTAGATCATTTGAAACGATTAAATTTATCATTTCAAACAAACGATAAAAGAATCATTCAATTAGAATGATTAAAATATCATTCCAAATGAATGATAATAGAATCGTTCAATTAGAACGATAAAATTATTGTTTCAAACAAACGATAAGAAAATTGTTCGATTAGAATAATAAGAAAATCGTTCAATTAGAATGATTAAATTATCATTTTTTTAGAATAATAAAAAATTGTTCTTTTGGAACGATAAAAAATCGTTCATTTAGAACGATTGAAGTTATTGTTTCAAATGATCTGAAATTTCGAATTAATCTGAAATTTTCAGTTCAGTTCAGATTTTTACCAGTTTACAGTTCAGTTCAGTTCAGATTTTTACTGATTTACAGTTTGGTTCAGTTTTGGATTGGCCTATAATCTAGACCGAACTGAACTATTCAAAGCATTATTTATAATATACACATCTTCGTATTATTTTACCTAAATCTTTTTTATAAACTTTCTTAAAAATATAATATATATAACATTTAAATAATAATAACCAATTATTATAATAAATAACATTGCATTACCTTTAATTGATCTTTAGAAAATAGAGTAACTTCTGTATATTTAATAACTTTTAGCATTATATATTATGTTTTCAATTCACATTCATTATGCAAATAATTTTGTGGATATATTTTTTTTAGCATTTCGTATAATTCAATAATTATGCTTTTTTGTGCAAACTAAAATTGAAAAAATTGTTGCCAGTTAATATTACTAATTGTTTACTTTCTTAAATTATAATTAAAAATATTATTTAGAAGTATTTTATTATCTTAAAATATAGGTAAACATATAGAAATTTGTTGTTTATTAATAGTATTTTGTGTCATTAGATGTTGTAAATCAAATAGCTGTATTCTATAATATTTTTTATAGATCCTACATTTTCTTATTCTTCTACTAAAGTAAAACTAAAAAAAAATATTAGCTCATTATAATCCTTTTGATATACTAAAATTTCATAATTTTTAAGTCATATTTTTTAAATAAATAAATTTCTTTTCTTTCTATATTCACCAATAAATGATATAGTATAATTTTTTATTATTTTTTTGTTTACAAATACTAATATTTATGATATATATCAAAATATTATTAACTTTAATAGCAAATGCTTAAAAAGAAACATTTTTTAGTAAGGCTTCTAATAATTTATTATTATTTTAACCTAAAATCAATAGACCAAAAAATTTTATCTTTGAATTAGAAAAAATTCGTTAATAAACTTGTTATAGTATAACTTAATACTGTTTTAATATCGTTAAATTTACTTTCAGACTAGTATCTATATTCTAGAAATACCTTACTATTGTCATTTTCTTCTGTTATATACATGTAAAAATGCCTATTTTTTATTCTATAACAGTTTTCTAATCTACACATATAGGATAAAGAAATATATCTTCTTCTGGTTTATTGTCATCTCTCATAATCTACCATTCTCTTAAATT